CACCATTCAACCACAGAACAACTGGGCTTGTTTTGGGATTATTTTTCGCTTCGACAAACCTAAAAAGTTCCTTCGAATCTTAGGCTCGTGAAATAAGAGTTCTGTCCTCGGTACGTATTGATATTTATGGAAAATGAATCAGCTAAAACTCCAAGTTATTCGACACAAAGAGTCAACCGAAGTTTTCAGAAATTGATTCCCTGCACAAGTCTCTTTTCGAGGTAACGGAACAAGTCATGAATGTGACCTGCAGATCAATTTTCACCGCAGGCAATGAAGTGAATTATAGTCTGGAATAATCAGCGATTGGACGAATGTTTACCGTTGAAAAGTTTACCGCCGAAGAAAATGGTAATCAAACTAAAGAAATAAATAACATTCTGTGGACTTAGTTAGGAAACACTTTATTGAATTCATTCGAATATTCAACAAGATTATAACTGAAATATATTAAACTAAAGAGTGTACAGTGATTCGTCGTCCATTTCAAAAAAACTTGGTCATAAGCGAGAACTAAGTATGTTTGCAATGAATTACCAGTAATGAAGATAATTTCCCGCTGTTGATGAATTCAGATATCCTGAATACTGATTGAAATTTATCGCGAACGTAGCGCCGGGTAACTCGTAAATTTTATCAGCCATCTTCTGATCGACTGAAATCACAATCATTGAAACGTTGTTATTTTAATCATGAAATCATTTTTTTATCCCTATCGACTAATAATCAACCATCTCATTTACTTTTCAATTCCATGGAACTATTACCTTTATCAGGCTTTGGAACGTATTCAGTTAACAGTGGTTTAGGTGTGGTATCACATGTAATCTGAGTACTGTATGGTTTGCCTTGAATGAAGTTCGCAATCATTTGCAACGTTGGAGCCGGTCGATCGGTTGGTACAAAGTGACTGCCACCCTTTAAATGAACAAATTGATTTAGCAAATGGATGAGATACCAAGAAGAAGCGATGATGCGTCGATTGGTGAAGATTGCAGAAGGGAATAATTTGACTATACACAAAACAGAGACTGACTTCGCTATGCAACACTTCAACAGTAAAATATATTTAAATGTTTGTATTAGAAACACATAAAACCCTCAGTTGCTGTGGAATATTTCAGGCATCGAGGCAATACAATAGTAGACCGAATAACAGAAGTTCAAGTAAAACAAAGTTTATCCTGAATGGGGTGAGAATTTTTGGCCGCATCCTAGATGAAGAATCTTTAAGAGGAGCAAGGAGGTATGAGTGAGTCCAAAATGTTACCCTGGAAACAATTACCGAGATTTGACAAGAAGTTTAAACTTTTCATGGCTTTCCGCATTCCAAATTTACGCGGCCACCTACACGACGGTATATGGGCCGTCCCGAAAGAACACGGAAAGTTTGGACCATTTCTTCGAAAGCGATCGATTGGTATTGATTAAGTAATTTAATTAATGATTTTCGCAAAAATGCTGATGTTCCAAGAGATATCCAGCAACGAAACGGAAGCCACATCGATTTGAAAAAATTACCTTGATTGTAAGTAAATCGATACGAACGCTTGGATGTGTAAAATGTTTCACATAACCAGCAATACGTGGCAAATATCCACCAGGATGCGTATAATTCCACGCATCACGCTCCGAGCCCTTCATTTTATTCTTTTGTGCTAATTTCTCTATGAACCATTCATCTGCAACGATTTGACTTCGTAGTTTATTGAGGGTTTCGAAAACACTGTAGTTGTAGCTTCACCCTTTTCTTAACGTGAATCCGTACCATTTGAAGAAAATAAACTCAGGACGACACCACGGTGTCTAGCAATATTTAATGGGAATTATCCGATTATCATTCGTTGAGAATTATTAATGTGATGTTCCATAAGTTTTGTATCCTATAGAGCAGCATCAGAAATGTTGAAAGTTCTTGAAATGAAGGCAATGAAAAGTGATTTATTTGAGCAAAAATGTTCACCGCCCAGGAAATTGCAAGCTGAATCAGCATCTCCGTTGTAAATGAGAATCTTCAATGGATATATGGAATTGATAATACTTTGGAAAACAGGAGTGGTATCATTGTGTTCTTGTTTATAATCCTCATTCATTTGGTTGCTGTAAACATACGAACGAGTAACAAATAAATGAATGAACAGAGATGAATGAATTAACCTAGACATCCTATAAACTCTTATAAAAATTGTATTATATCGATATATAAGTTCTTCTATCGTTGTCCTCCAGAGATGTTTTATCGGCGATTCAATCGAAATATTGTTTAGAGAACGACAATAATGATTTTGAGTCAGAATTTTGCAAATCAATCCATTAGAACTAACTTGCAATCTGTCCATCTTGGAAGACCGCTTTGAACATGAATGGCTTGTTGAACACTTTTGGTGTTCAGATATGTTTCTGTAGCATGATCCATGTAGCATGGGAATGTGCCCAATGGATCTGTTGACATATAATTGATGCGATTCTGCAATTCATTTGTCACTTAATGTTGCATATCAATGATTCTCTGATGAAACCGATCGTATATTGAATTCAAATGATCGTGAAAATGAACGAAACAGACGAAGTATGAACAATTTACACTCCTATACAACAAAAGTTCTTCCCTGATAGAAATGGACACTAAATCTGATGCAAAAACTATTGTAGCCTCCAGGCAAGAAACAAAGCAAAAACTAATGCTATTGTTATTTCATTCGTGTGATACAAGCTCATCTCCAGTCGCAACAAAGCTCTTTTATTTGGTGAACAGTTATTGCATGTGAAAGCGATCTTGTGCTCGATATCGAAACAGTTATCGAGACTCGAATTCATCTAACAAATAAAATTTATTCGGTCTGAGTTCAGTTGGTTTGAATGAATCTAAAAGATTCAAACTGACGTAAGTAAAATACAACTTACGATTTGATTGATGAATGGTGATTCATTGGTGAGAGTTAATCCAGCCAAATGTCCTGCATTCCTCTTATGACGACGTGCCGTTTGTAATTTCGCTGCTTTAGCATAACAATCTTGATAAGTATTGTACACATCGTTACTGTAATAAATCAAGCTATTTATGCAATGTGATTTGACATGACATCTTCATCTGCACATTCTAATTGCATTATGAATGAAATTAGCAGCAAATCATACTTTTGAACAATATGATAACATCAGGTTTAGCAGAAAGTTCTTACAATTAGACAGTTAGACGCAAATTTTCAAAGTTTCATAACTCGGTTCAGAACATTTTTATTTTCAAAATGAAAACCGTTCGCCTCCACACAACATTGCCAACGCGAAGTCAGGGTTTTTATCCCCGAGGGCATAGAAAACGAGGTCCGTGGAATCAAAAAATCGACAACCGTCAGCTTTTAGTACCGTCTCATTTGGGATGTTCTTCCCACGCAGGAAAAGTTCCAGGTTTTTGAAAATATGATAATCTGTTGGGGAGAGATTCGGAGAGTAAGGCGGGTGAGGTGGAATCTCAAAACCTAATTCGTGAATTTTTCTATGTCGTCCTTGCAACGTGTGGTCTGGCGTTATCCTGCAAAGGGATCGGACCACTTTTGTTCATCAGTGCTGGCCTTATTCTCAACGTATTCTTCATATTCTGCTAAGCAACGCTACTTCAATGTCATTTTTCATTTAACATTTCAAACTGCACTGCGAACTGTTTCGTCCAGCCTTTCATTCGAACGAACCATAAGTATTCCGTAAAAATTCGTTTCGCTTTCTTTCAGAAATCATCAGTGCACAATGTAAATCCCCAAAGCAACCTACCCGCTTTCCCAAACCTTCCAAAATCCCATTTCTTCAACCAGTTGACCGCATTGTTTTAAATTGCTCTCATTCTTCGCATGTGCGTTTCCAGCCGGATCAAGATGGATGTACTGAGTTAGATCACAATAATTGTCATAGACTCCGTTCTTGGTACAGCATGGTATCAGACGATCCAGTTCACTGAAAACAAGCAGTTCTGATTTGATATTCCGAAAAGCATTTTCGTCAACTTTTCCATGTTTACTAACATTCGTAATTTGTAAATTTTTGCAGTGAATGCTGCTAATTATTCGTAATTTACTTATTCGTAATTTGGTGTGACCTAAGCAAAATTATTTTGCAGTGAATGCTGCTGCCTTGATATTCCGCCTTAACAATAAAATGATCATATTTAGTGTACAAACCGTTTGCCGAGTACTCCACGATAATACAAGAGTTGTGGTGCTGAATTGATTTGTTGTAGTTCACTTATTTCACCATTGCCAATTGCAAGACCTTTTAAGTTCACATACTTCATACTTCCGTCCTTAAGAATTCGTATAAGTGTCAGAACAGTTGACGGATCGATTCTCTTTGAAATGTTCCATAATGAATGCGTATTATAATAGAAGCGATCGTCTTACCTGAATGCGTTTAATCAAGGCATCAACAAGTGTCGGCGTGTATACGCCACCATATGATTCACCACTCACGTAGAACTCACGATTTTTGTATTCTGGGAATCGTTTAAAGAAACTTTTCAATGCGAGCACATTATCCGCTGCTGTCTGAAAAACGTTTGTTGTTATCAAAACTGAACAAGTAACCTAACCTTCTAATTACTGAGCTGAATATGAAGTAATGATGCACTTACGATTGTAAGCTGAGTAATTATTAGCAAAAAATCATTCTTTGCTCTTTAAATGCAGATATTTCCGATGAATTTCTTCTTAATATGTTCCATGCCTATGATGGAAAATGTTATTGATCTTCTGAATTTTCAATTTCGGATCGTCTGCTCCATATGTGAGTTCATTGTCAAATCATTCAATTAGGACAGGATTTATGAAACGATAAAGGAAACAGTATAGACCTTGGTGTCATTATAGAGGGTATCTGGAGGAACTGTATTCGAACGATATGAAAAACCAACGTCTCTTGGTGATTCAATGAACAAAACGTTTGCTATCTGTAAACTTATTTGAATTAAATTTGCTTGTCAAGTCAAATAAGACTCTTGGTTTTTCATTCACTTTTATTTAATAAATTGCATCAATTCATTCATCTTCAACGAATTACACATTTCTTCATTAATATGACACTATGAGGTAAATTATTCGAAACATAATCCTCATGAATTAATCAACTAATAGATTATCATCAAGGAGAGTTCGTTTCAGATTCGCCCCCCCCCCCCNCGGATTATTTTGCGATTCAACAAACCTGAAAGCTATTGGAGCATTGCATGCCACGTGTTTCAGTGACAGACGATCTGACTGTGACACGCTAATATTATATGACATTATTGATGCAAGAGTATGCTCAGAATTTTTATTTGCTGATTCTCTTTAAATATTCATATGGTCAGAACTTTGACTGTGAGTTACAGCATAAATAATCTTGTTAATGCGAACAAACCGCGGTGATCCGCTGTTGTGTCGTTCGAGAACAATTCGTGAACTGATTAGACAGAATCATTTATTTTCTCTTAAATATTAGAATTTTTAGATACCAAAGAGTGCATGAATTACTCGTACCAAATTTTTCAGATAATTTCTTGTACTTGGAGTATAATGGATGAGTGCTGAACGGCGATAACGAATAATGAACAAATGTCAAACCAGTAATGAAGGAAGTTCCCTTTCGACGCTTCCAGATATCCTGAATATTGGTTGAATGTCACTTTAAATGTAACGCCGGGTAAATCTGTGATCTTATCGGCCTTCTTTGAGCCCACTGGTGGATCACCTACGGAATACGGCTTCACTATATCGCTTCGTGGATCAGAATAACCATGTGATTGAGCGAATAAACGCCATGTACGTGAACGAGTTATCGGAACACTTGTTGCTATCTGCAAACACAGTTTTGTTCTGTTAGAGTTTTTAAAGCTGTGTTCATTCTGAGGTATTTTTTACAGTGGTATTCATCCTGAATAAGTTCATTAATTTTGAGTCGATGAACTTTTGCTTTGATTACTTGGTATGTTAGTGGAATTGTGATGGTTGTTGTTTGGGAGACATTTGCAAAATAATTCCTTCAGTATTTGATCCGTTTCACTGACAACTAACTGAGCTCGGCAAACGAAACATTGCTCATCATCTACTTCCATAAAACGTCTCACAAAGTGATTCTCACTCAGCTGCATTACAATTTCAAAAGTATTCTCATCAGTCAGTATTTGTCAATGTATTCGAAAGTTATTCTCTCGTTGCATAAGTCGAGCTGGTGAAGTATGGACTAATAGTTATTATAATACTGCACGCAGAGATAAGTGTGCAACCTTCAGTTGAATTTGATACTCGGGCTTTAGCGCAGTGAAGGTTATATCGAAAGGAAGCGGTGTCTCGTATGGAATATTCATTAGGAAACCACGAATCATCTGCATAGCTGGTCCTGGTCGATCCGTTGGTACCATATGTCCTGCGCCCTGAATTTTAATCATTGGCGAAAACTTTTTGCAATGCTCTATCGGAGTAATCACATGTTCGACATAACCGCAATTTTGGAGCTATTTTTCTGCAACCGCTTCA